TTTCAGCAACATTAGCCCCATTAACTCTTGCATTGTCATCTCCATTTCTCACCCATTCCCTCCAAGAATTGCAAAAAATAGTTGAGGCAAGAGCCTCCCTACAATCCATCACCCTTTTTAACAAAATGTAATGGGATGCAAACCGGGTTTTTGCAACCTTTAATAACTCCAACCTTGAGTTTTCACGAAAGATAGCTAAAGCATGGGTATGATTAATAAAATACTTGACAATTGCCTTGCCTCTTCTATACGTATTTTGTAACCATTGGAGTTCTTTTGCCATGTCTTTGAAAATTAAATTCAAAGTATGCACGCAACAAGGAGACCAAAAAATATGCTTATGTACCTTCTCAATCTCTCTCCCGGCAGCTTTGCAATTAGCCGCATTATCTGTGACTACTTGCAATACATTACTTGGTCCAACCGTGTCAATAGCTCCAAGAAGAAACTTAGAAATCTCAACTCCAGATTTCTCAACTCCGGAAAAATCTTCCGCATACATGAACATAGCACCACGGGAGTTCACTACTAGAACATTGATAAGTGGCCTATGCTTCACGTTAGACCACCCATCCGAGACAATTGACACTCCTTGAGTGTACCACATGTCTTTCACTTGGGTTAGGTCTTTCTCAACATCCCTAACACATTCATCGAGCAATACCGTTCTTGCCTTTTCACTAGAAGGGGGCTTGTATCCTTCTGGTGCCTTTTTGATAGCGTTGACCATTTCAATAAACTGAGGGTTGCGTAAGACATTGAATGGGATTCCATTTGCACACAAACCTCTAACGATCTTCAAAGCAACTACATTTCTCTCTAATAGCCCGAAAGATTCTTCCAAGCGCTTCTTTGAGGATACATTTCTGGACAATAGAGAATTCTTCAAGGATTTCGCAACCTCGTCAGCTTCTGCCTCCTTTACTTTGTTCCAAAGCCTTTCATATTGTTGCCTATCTTTTAGGACTGCTGGACACCTTCTGATCTCTGCCTTCTTCCCCGCAGGTGGTCCAAAGAAGTGAACATGAATTCTTGTATACGAACTTTTATACTGCACTTTGCAATGTTTGCAAACCCACTGTTTTGCACCACCTGCATTTTTACTGTCACCATTGCCAATAAATGTTACTTCGTCAAGCAATGGTTTGGATGCATTACTCACAGCAGCATCCTTAGCTTGTGTAGCAGATTGAGTTTGTTCAGTAACTTGCTGCTCTAGAATTTCTGTGTCACTATCTTCAACATTAAAGGTGGCTGGGGACTGTGGTGTAGATGAAGCAGCAGAAGCAGACCCAAACACCATTTTGAATGACTAGAAGAAAGACCAAAGTCACCAAACACAGCAGGTGGTTGAGGAAAGTGGTGTATAAAGTCCGAATCTGGAGTGGAGGGAATAAAGTAGTTTGGAGTTCTGGACTGAGTTAAGTGTAGAAGAAAGACTGCTACTTGGCGTATGAAGAAGGTCATTTTTCCTCAATTTATAACAATTATTAGAGAGTAAAATTGATGACTAGGATCAGAATACTAGGAGTCCAGGAGCGTGGTTCGATAATAACACTTCGTAGTTCGTACGCTGTTTACAAACAGGAAACGAAACGCAGAGTCCAAACCTGAATTTGAAATCTGGGAAACGACGATTGAATTCTGGGAAAGTATGGGGAACGACGTTTGGAAGCTGTGCGACGAAGGGAAACGACGATTATAATCGCTTCCAACATCGATTGGGGTCGTTTTCATCAACGATTGGGTGTGACTCTGTAAAGCGATTGGGAACGACTCCAAGAGCGTACCGCGTAGCGTTCCGGAGGGCGATGGGATCGCGTTCGTACCGCGATTCGGTACGAAACGTTTGGTACGTAGATCGTGGGTCTTGTAGCGATTTATGTATCTATGGTAATGACTTATGATTTAACTATCTTGTATTTAGTGCGAGTACATAATACTATCCGATAGATTAATTTAAAGTTAACTTAAAGTATTCTGTAGGTAGTTAAATTAAAGTTAACTTCAAGTATCTTTAGCACTAGTGATGTAACTTAAAGTTCTATTTAAAAAGAAACTGTTTTATTAATGATAGATTAAAGTAGTTGAAGTATCATTAGCACTACTGATTAAATTGTTTTATCAATGATTTTTTGTTGAAGGAGCTGAAGCAGTTGGTAGAAGATGGGTTGTTTGTTCCCAACGGTCGTGCTGACATACTCACAACTGCCCTAGATAAAAGGCCAGATGGAAATGGAAGTAGAGTTCAAAAGGAGTAGGTCACTTTATCACTAAATCTATGTATTTTAACCAGCCTGTGGATAAGGCTTTAGAGAAGCAAGAAGCAGAGAACATTGGAGTGATAGAAGATATGCTATGATGACGCAACGATTTGATGAATTGAAAGCACAAATCAGTGCCTATGTTGGTAGTGATATTGGTAGCTATAGTTTTACCACCAAGTCTTCAACTTGTGAAAATTGAAAGCAACAGGTTTATACTACTCATTTCTGAAGGAGAAATAGATATATAATCTTTTAAATTAACATACTCAAAGTTAGTAGCTAGCATTTATATATTTTTTAAAACCGATAGCACTTCTATTTTGGATTTGCATATAGTAGATGCATAAATGAATGACATGAATGCACTGATGTTGAAATATAACCTATAGTTTAGCTTGATAGTGGCTGTTTATGGATAGAAAATGATAAACAAAACTATATTTTTTTCATTTGAAATATAACGTATATTGAAAGTATGTCAAGAAAAGGTTGTTCATTTTATTTTTTATGATACACAACATTAACTCAAAGGTAGGTATTTTAACGTGTGTGTGTATATATATATATATAACCAATTTTGCCTTATCTAAATTGCAGATTCTTTATAACTTGTAAGTTACTTAAATTATATTGAACATATTTGTATTGCAGGTTCTTGAGGAGGTTGAGAAGTCAAAGATTACTCCAAGAAAACATACAGGGCTTCTATTCCTAGAAGATGTCCCAGGCACACCTCTACCACATCTGAGAAGATTCAACCTAAGCCATCAATAGATAAAGATGAACAACGTCCAAAGAGTCGATATGAAAAAAGAAATGTAGCATTAAAAACAACTAAAAATATGAAATGATAATATTAACTATTAAAATCTTATATTTGCATGGCGGGCTGAAGAACTTGGAGATTTGCAGGACAAACTTGGTTTCAAACTAAAGAAGAACTATCTGCAAGCAAAAATTGTAAAGGTTGAAAGGCAGAGTCCAAAAAAAAAATGGACAGATCAAATACATTCCAAGGAGATCCCCCGCCATAGAAGATATTCTTTTGTCCTTGCTCACGTGAAATGTTTGACCATCTTCACTATGTAGAAGAAGGTCGCAATACATGGAATGTTTTTTTTATGGTAATACATGGAATGTTTTTAGTAAATGACTTCGCATCAGCTTGAAATTCTTTTTCCACTTTACTTCGCAAGGCCCGACTGATAGCTGTTATATTTACTTGTGTTTAACATAAGTATTTATGAGTATTTGTTGAAGAAAAGAAGAGCAATCAGGCAAATACCTTCAGAATGAGAGCTAGAGCATAAAATATTGCGACACACAACTTTTTGGATCAAGAGAATGATGTTCTGCCCATAATTCGAGTATAACTTATTATAGAGAACTCAAAATTCCTCGATTCGAATTTCATGTGAATGGTAACTTAATAAGGTACAAATGTTATGACGATATCATGATCAGAATATGAAAGGAACAAGACTTAATCAACCATTAAAGTCAGATGTTGCTGATGCGATTTCAGGATGCATACCTCTCAGTGTTTTATCCATAACTTTTGATTGGATGATTGAAATCACTTCATTCAAGCTTTGGTGGATAGAGGCTTCATTTTCTACAACTTTGATGAAGAAATCATGCCCAAATTCATAACAGAAAAAATATATAATATCCGGCGCCGGTCTGCCCTTACAATCAACGTTGGTTTCATTTAAATCGTATTTTCCAGGTTGGTCGAGAGAAAATCGGCGCCTGTTTACTCCTATAGCCGCCGCCGGTTATGCTGTGTTTCACTATTTTCCCTGCGCCAAAGTAAAACCGGCGCCGGTTAAGCTCGAATCTGCACAAAACACAATGACGTGCAACAATATTTTGATGGAAAAACCCCATCTTCCTCATGATCTGATCAAATATATCTTCCATGCCTGATTGTTGGGCTCGAATAGACTAAAAGATATCAATCTTTAACTATATAAAGCCCTCAATTCATCAAACAAGATCATCAATCCATCCTTGAAACTTAAATTTCAGTTTTTATATTTTATTTTTGCATTCTCTTGAAGTGGTGGAGAAGAAACCATTTCTCTGCTCTACAATTGGTTCTATATACTATTTCTTGTATGTTATTGTATTTCCTTATTCTTAGTTACACTTTTGTAATTAGTATGAGCTCAAGAAGCTAATTTCTTATCTAAGGCTAGGGATGAACTTCTATGCCCACTAGGTGTTTGATAAAAGTTCTAAGCAAATAAATTGTGATTTATCCTTTATATTTTAATTGTTTATGACTATGGTATACAACATAGAAGTATGTTAAATTTAGTTTATGCATGCAAGTAACGTTGAAGTCTAAACTATGAACATTAAAGGATAAACATCAGTAATTAATTGCAAGAATTCTAAGCAGAAGAAGAATTCGGACAATCAATGAACTGTATTCACTTAGATCATCAAGAAATGATCTAGAGAAAAGGAATACAGGAGACTGAGAGAAGGAAGTAGGAGATTACAAGAATGGCTATCCTCTAATCGTATAACTCATTCTATTTATAGCTATACTATTAACAACTAACAAAAATGTAACTAACTACCGGGAAACCTGTCACGCCCCGGACCGCATCCGAGCGCGTGTACAACCGCCGTATGACTAAATGACGTCACTCGCAAGTCAACGTGACTTAATCATACAAGGCGTCCATGAACATTGTTCATACCATACTCAGTAAGTAAACATACATAACAACATCACATATTTGGATTGAACGAATCGCGGAAATATTCAATATTCAATCATGGGCCACATATGGCCAAAACGTGGACTCGCAGGCCCAAAACAAATGTACTTATTACAAAATATCCATGAGCATAGTTTATAGTTTAAAATAGTAAAGGAAGCACGAACCACGTCTCCCTTTAGATTACTTCACCGAGCAAGGTGAGAGTGCAAGCTTGAGCTTCAACCTGAAATGGTGGGGCCCCCCGAAGGGGTCAGTACAAGTACCGAGCGAGTAGCAGGCTAAATGTAGAATAACTAACGTTTCAAGTATAAGACCCAAACATAGGGTGATACATATACATATAGTTCTTTCCCCCAAGTTATGAAATATATATCATTATATATACACATGGAAATACCCGACCCTTAGGTCATTGTTTATTTGGGAAATAATATAGCCGTTAACCTTGGCTTAAACCCCAACCCACCCATATACCTGTGAGTGTATAGAACTCCTCCTGGTTCAAATCATCTTAACATGAGGACACCGCCCGGTCCCAAATTATAAAATAATAATCTATGAGTTTTGAGGATACACGCCCGATCCTTGGGTACTCCACCCTATAACCGAGTTTTGAGGATAACCGCCCGATCCTTGGGTACTCCACCCTATAACCGAGTTTTGAGGATACCGCCCGATCCTTGGGTACTCCACCCTATAACCGAGTTTTGAGGATACACGCCCGATCCTTGGGTACTCCACCCTATAACCGAGTTTTGAGGATACCGCCCGATCCTTGGGTACTCCACCCGACTTATGATCTACCACATATCATCCTAGATAAGGTCTATATCATAATCAATAATCAAGACTAAACCAAGTCTTAAGGCCTAAGCATAATCATCCATGCAATTCATGCATTAAAAATCAACATATAGGCAAAACAGTGCCAAACCGGCGCCGGTTTTGACATAACCGGCGCCGGTTATTAATTAATTTAATAAAACCGGCAATGTCGATCCATAACCGGCGCCGGTTGTGCCTATAACCGGCGCCGGTTACCCCCTGGGCAACCAAGTCAACATTTTCGTTGACTCGCCATTTCAAACCCGATTTGCGTCAAACTTAATCCCAACATGTATTAAGTTATAACCAAGCATTTTATGCCCCTTTCATCCCTTAAAACATCATATACGTTTTTATAAACATTTTCATATCATACTTCATTTATGATATCAATGGGTCATACATATAAGTCTAATCACTTTGGATAATCACATGTTTAAGCATCTTTTAAACATCATTATGAACACATATAACATTTACTTAGGTAATCTCATAATTAACCCAAGAGTTATAAGACATTAAGCCGTCCACTCACCTCGAATGAGCGTGATGAAGTTCTACCCTTCTCGGTTGAACTCCGGCCAAACTCCGGTGAACTTTGACGAACTCCGGCGATAACTCCGGCGACCCTTTAAACCTCGTGAAAGCTTATAAATCACCTTTGACAAGTTCCTAACAAGGTTTTATCATCACAAAACCCATATTAATACAAATAACCTCTAAAAGGTCATTTTCCGGCTAACCGGTCGTTTTGGCTCCTAAGTCCGTTCTTGGACATAGGACCGCCTTTCAACCCTCCTTTTCTACATTATAACATGTAGAACAATACTAGGGGTACTTCATATGCTATGTAAGTCATATGAAGTTCAAAGAGAGGAGAAAAAGTTATCATGGAGTCATTACCTTAATTATCCAAGTTTTTCCTCACTTTTTCCCTCCTTAAACTTCCTTTGTGGACTTCTCCTTGTTTGAGCTCAAGGTGCAGCTATGGAAGATGGTGTGAAAGGTTCCTCCCTCCTTCCTTGAGGTGTGCTGGTCGAGAATGATGGGTGAGAGAGAGAGTGGAGAGGTTGTTTTGTCTCACATAACCAATGAGTGAATGGGAAGGGCCCTTTGGCTTTTCAACCATGTTCCTCACATCTATTCATGCTCCATCATGTGTCCTTCCAGCTCTCCATAGTCCTCTCTTGCACACAAAAACGTGGGATGGCCCCCACTCATGTGGGAGGTCATCCAAACTTGTCCCGAAATGTACAATCGGTCCCAAAAGTTGTATTTCTCGGACTGTTTTAAATTATATTTTATTTTATTGGGTCAAATAAAATATAACACTTACTTCCCATCATAATGGGCCTTTAGGATGATTATACATTCTCCAACTTTAATTTGGAAGTCCCCGAAATTCATTTCAGACTGTTATCCGATAAATTACCCAAAACCGGTAATTAGGCCTTGTTTGACCAACCGGTCAACCCAATGCCTTTCTTATGGCCCAAGGTGAATGTCCACCACCATATAACTATTATCTATACCAAGATGAATAAAATATGCGGTCTCGGGAATATCGGGTGGTCCCCGCTCCCGGTGTGGGCCCCACGTGCAATTTACTATTCGCGCAAAAGAATTGACAAAAATTTACAACCTCGTAAATTCATTAACCATTTCATAAGGTTCAATACATAATTTACACAAAAGTAAATATACTTGGGGACGGTGTTACAAGTTCACCCCCCCTTATTCGGGATTTCGTCCCCGAAATCAACGTGTCTAATCGAAAAGAAACGGGTATTGCTCCTTCATTGAGACCTCAGTCTCCCAGGTTTCTTCTTCGACTCGATCACTCCTCCACAGAACCTTCACCATAGGAATCTCCTTGTTCCTAAGTTTCTTCACTTGTTGGCCCACTATCTTCACTGGTTCTACAGCATATTGCAAGTCCTCCCGGATCTCCACCGGTGGTTTCTCAAGAATATGTGACGGATCCCGTACATACTTCTTGAGCATCGATACATGAAATACATCATGAATTTTCTCCAGCTCAGGGGTCAACTTGAGACGATACGCTACGGCCCCAATCCTCTCAAGAATTTCAAATGGACCAATGTATCGGGGGTTAAGCTTACCCCTTGATATGAATCGGATGATACCCTTCCAAGGAGAGATCCTTAGAAAGACTTCATCCCCGACCTCAAACTCCAACGGTCTCCGCCGTTTGTCTGCATAGCTCTTCTGCCGATCTTGGGCAGCCATGAGTCTATCACGAATGATCTTCACCTTAGCCTTGGTGATCTCAACGAGTTCTATCCCTTCGAGTTTGGCCTCGCCAACCTCATCCCAACACAAAGGTGTTCTGCACTTCCTCCCATATAATGCCTCGTATGGAGGCATGCCAATACTCGCCTGATAACTGTTGTTATAGGCAAACTCTACCAGAGCCAAATGTTTGTCCCAACTCCCTTGGAACTCCAAAGCACACGCTCTAAGCATGTCCTCCAAAATCTGTATCACCCGTTCAGACTGTCCATCCGTCTGTGGGTGAAAAGCTGTACTAAACTTCAGTTTAGTACCCAAAGATGCTTGAAACTTTGGCCAAAATCTGGATGTGAATCGTGGATCCCTATCTGAGACAATGGATATCGGGACTCCATGCAATCTCACAATTTCTTCCGTATATAACTTGGCTAACCTTTCAAGAGGGTAAGTAATGTTGATAGGCAAGAAATGTGCGCTCTTGGTGAGCCTATCGACCACTACCCAGACTGCATCATAGTTGTTTACCGTCCGTGGTAGCCCTACCACGAAGTCCATAGTCACATGTTCCCACTTCCATTCTGGAATGGTAAGCGGCTGCAATAGTCCTGCCGGGTGTTGGTGTTCTGCCTTAACCTGCTGGCAAGTAAGGCATCGACTCACATACTCTGCGATGTCTCTCTTCATACCTGACCACCAGTAACTCTCCTTCAAGTCTCGGTACATCTTAGTACCCCCTGGATGCAGGGCATAGGCCGAAGAATGAGCCTCCTCTAGTATAGACTTCTGGAGCTCCTCATTCTTTGGTATGCACACACGGTCCTTAAACATCAAAAGGCCATCATCACGTACCCGAAAGTTCTCAACGGGCCCCTCAAGGATCCGTTCACGGATCTTCTGACATTCCTCGTCAATGGCCTGACATCTACTGATTTCACTCAGTAATGTGGGCCTAACCTCAAATCTAGCAATGAGGGTCCCACGCGTGGACACCTCCACGCGTGCCCTCAATGCCCGTAGACATGTGAGTAACGTCCCCGTCGTACTCTTCCTGCTTAGCGCATCGGCCACCACGTTGGCCTTCCCGGGATGATAGTCAATGATCAAGTCATAGTCCTTGATCAACTCCATCCATCTCCGTTGTCTCATATTCAACTCTTTCTGAGTGAATACATACTTCAAACTCTTATGATCAGTATAAATGTGGCATGTCTCCCCGTAGAGATAATGCCTCCAAATCTTCAGTGCAAACACTACCGCCCCCAACTCCAGATCGTGGGTAGGGTAGTTCACCTCGTGTTTCCTCAATTGCCTAGAAGCGTAGGCTATCACCTTACCATTTTGCATCAACACACATCCTAGCCCTTGGATGCTAGCATCGCTATAGATATCGTACCCTATCCCCTGCTTGGGTAGGGCAAGAACTGGTGCCTCGGTAAGCCGCTTCTTCAATTCAAGAAACCCTTTCTCACAATTGTCATCCCATATGAACTTGGCCCCCTTCTTTGTGAGCTTCGTCAATGGAGATGCCAACACGGAGAATTTTTCGACGAACTTACGATAGTATCCCGCTAGGCCAAGGAAACTACGTATTTCTTTCACATTTTTGGGTCGCTCCCAGTCGATGATGGCTCTTATCTTGGCGTTGTCCACAGCAACGCCCGAACCGGATATGACATGTCCGAGAAAGCCAATCTCTTTGAGCCAGAATTCACATTTGGAGAACTTGGCAAAGAGTTGTTTTTCTCTAAGTCGTTCAAGTACAAGCCTCAGGTGATGTTCATGCTCCTCCTCGCTCTTGGAGTATATCAAGATGTCATCAATAAATACTATCACAAATTGATCCAAGTATTCACTAAACACTCGGTTCATCAAGTCCATGAATGCCGCCGGTGCGTTGGTTAACCCGAACGACATCACAAGAAACTCATAGTGACCATATCTAGTGCGGAATGCACTCTTAGGTATGTCACTCTCCTTGATCTTCAACTGATGATAGCCCGACCTCAAATCAATCTTCGAGAACACTATCGCCCCCCGAAGTTGATCAAACAAGTCATCAATCCTCGGTAAAGGATACCTATTCTTGATCGTGACCTTGTTCAACTGTCGGTAATCTATGCACATTCTCAATGTGCCATCTTTCTTCTTCACGAAGAGTACGGGTGCTCCCCACGGTGAGTGACTGGGCCTAATGAATCCGTTGTCCAAGAGTTCCTGTAGTTGGACCTTTAACTCTTGAAGTTCTGCCGGTGCCATTCGATAAGGGGGTATCGAAATGGGTTTGGTTCCTGGTTCTACTTCAATTACGAACTCAATCTCCCGGTCGGGTGGAAGTCCCGGCAAGTCTTTGGGAAAGACTTCCGGATACTTGCACACGACACGTACATCGTTGATGTCTATCTCTTTCTTTGTCTCATCTACTACGTAAGCAAGGTATGCGTGGCATCCTTTTCTCATCATCTTCCGTGCTCTCATCACGGATATGATACAACCATGAGATCCTTCCCGATCTCCCTCGAAACGTAAGGTGTTCCCCTTATCATCCTCGAGTTCCAACACTTTGGTGTAGCAATCAACTCGAGCATGGTACTTTTCAAGCCAATCCATTCCTAGGATAGCATCGAACTCCATCATACTTAGAGGTACGAAGTCACAAGTCAAAGGTTGACCCGTCACTTCTACCTCACATGATGGATAGTAATGGTTCCTCTCCACGTCATCTCCCAATGGTGTGGAGACTACCAAGGTTTGCGCCATTGGCGTCAACGGCACGTCAAGACCTTCGGCGAACGCTTCGCTCACAAATGAACGTTGAGCCCCGGTATCAATGAGAATTCTTGCATTTCTTCCATTGATCAATAGTGTCCCTACATTTATAGACGATGTAAGACACACTACTCGAAGTACCGGGTCGAAAATGGGCTAAACGAACATTTTCTGGCTGAAAATGTACTGGACCGGCGCCGGTTCTAGGCCCGACCGGCGCCGGTTTCCCCCTGGGATGGCCGAATACCCACCAAACACACTGGACCGGCGCCGGTTATGGCCAAAACCGGCGCCGGTTTACCGTCGGCAACCTCGGAAAAATAATTTTCTTTAAAAACCGGCCCCGGTTACGAGCACGGCGATTTGTTCCGGCATAATTTCCCCTAGACCGGCGCCGGTTATGGGCAAAACCGGCGCCGGTTTTCCTTCGGCCCTCCCCCGGAAATTCGATTTTTTGTTGTTTTCAGCCTTTCCGAAACCGGACCGGCGCCGGTTATGGGCAAAACCGGCGCCGGTTCACCTACGGCAGCCCCAAACAATTAACATTTAATATATAACCGGCACCGGTTTAAGCCATGACCGGCGCCGGTTTACCCCTGGGCAGCTGTATTCCTACAACTTTTTGCTAAAAACACGCCGGTATCGACCCCGGCGAGACCGTACAAGCCCGCTATCATTTTTAACACTTAACAACATATAATTTATCAAACATTACAAGGGATTACCTGCAACGGAGTCGGGGTTAGCCCGAGCATCGGCCTCGGTCATAGCATAAACTCGTGCTTGGGCCCCGCCTTGGTTGACGGACGCGGCATGGCTCGTTGATGCGCCGCCTCTCCCCGTGCCACCATGTGACGGTCCCGCACGGCTCCTCCCCGTCATGGACCCTCCTCCGGCTCCCGGTGTGTTCTCCTGAGTCGCTTGAGGACAATTGGCCTTCATATGGCCTGCATTCCCACACTTGAAACACCTTGGTGGTTCATTACACTTCCCAAAATGCTGTTTTGAGCAATTGGGACATCTAGGTGCTCCCGAGTTCTGTGGCCTAGGTCCGTGCCACCTCCCATCCCTATTCTTTTTCGCCGGTGGAGCCGGCGCCTTGAATGAGCCCCCACCACCACCATGGTTGTTCTTTCGGGAATGATCGGGCGGCCCCGAACTGTTCCACTTCCTCTTCTTCGCCTCCTCGGCGTCCCTTGCTTTCCTCTCATTCCACTGGGCCTCCCCAAGCATGCCCTGCTCTACCACCTCACTGAAAGTCATGAGGCGGGAGTATGTAGCACGATCTCGAATGTCTAAGAGTAAGGCATCCCAGAAGTGCTCAGTCATGCGGTCCTCATCGATTGCATACTCCGGTAAGAACCTAGCCAAGGTTCTAAACTCTTGCTCCAACTGCTTAACGGTGCCACCTTCCTTCTGCTTGAGGTTGGTATACTCCCTCCTTTTTACATTAACCTCAAAATCGGAGTAGTATTGGGCATAAAACTCCCGCTCAAAATTTTCCCATGAGATATTCCCACGGTACTTCCCTTCTACACCTTCCCACCATGTAGAAGCCATCCCCTCAAGCAACCGTGAAGCAACGGTTAGCTTCACATCCGGAGTAATTTGCATGTCCCTTGATGCATCCTTCACCTTCTTGATCCAATCGGCGGCAACGGTAATGTCACCGGTGCCATCGAAGGACCTACACCCCAAGGCCCTAGCCTCCTTGAGGTACTTGGAGATTCTCACTATAAAACCCCCCTCAAGCCCACCTTGTGGAGCCCCAGGTGTGGCCCTTGGAGCTCCCCGGCTTCCTTGAGCCGACACACCTTGAGAACCACGCCTTGCTTGGCGCCTAAGGTCTCTCCTTAGCTTCTCCTTTTGATACCACTCAAGTAATTCACCCATTTGGGCGAATCGGGCATCACTCTCATCATCATTCTCATCATCAGTGTGGAAATCACCCCCATCGTATGGGGTCTCTTCATGCTCCGTTTCAGGAACATAAGTAGAGTCGTAGTTCTCGGTGCTAGTCTCGTACACCGAACTCACGTGGCCATCACTCACTGTTTGTGCTCGGTGGCCCCCACGGCCTCCACGTCCTCCTCTTCCACCTCTGGAGCTTCGAGATGGAGCCCGACTAGCTCCAACAGAAGCTATCGGTGCTTGCCCTCTCGGATTGTTCCTGGTCCGCATGCGTCTACCCTCCATTTCTGAAAAGGAATTTGGACGAGTCGTTAGACTCCAATCAATGTCAATTGACGGAAAACGTTATAGACACGTATTGGCCCAAGTCACCGCCATACCAATCGTTAAGGGTACCATCTTAACAACTAGAGACCTTGCAACCTAGGTAACAATAGTTCTATAAGCGTCAAAATACAATGCTCATGGTTTTCGATAAAACTCTTTTGTAAAGTCTCATGTGAGAGGTTGATTATATAGTTTAGAAACTGAGATGGCTCTGATACCACTTAATTGTCACGCCCCGGACCGCATCCGAGCGCGTGTACAACCGCCGTATGACTAAATGACGTCACTCGCAAGTCAACGTGACTTAATCATACAAGGCGTCCATGAACATTGTTCATACCATACTCAGTAAGTAAACATACATAACAACATCACATATTTGGATTGAACGAATCGCGGAAATATTCAATATTCAATCATGGGCCACATATGGCCAAAACGTGGACTCGCAGGCCCAAAACAAATGTACTTATTACAAAATATCCATGAGCATAGTTTATAGTTTAAAATAGTAAAGGAAGCACGAACCACGTCTCCCTTTAGATTACTTCACCGAGCAAGGTGAGAGTGCAAGCTTGAGCTTCAACCTGAAATGGTGGGGCCCCCCGAAGGGGTCAGTACAAGTACCGAGCGAGTAGCAGGCTAAATGTAGAATAACTAACGTTTCAAGTATAAGACCCAAACATAGGGTGATACATATACATATAGTTCTTTCCCCCAAGTTATGAAATATATATCATTATATATACACATGGAAATACCCGACCCTTAGGTCATTGTTTATTTGGGAAATAATATAGCCGTTAACCTTGGCTTAAACCCCAACCCACCCATATACCTGTGAGTGTATAGAACTCCTCCTGGTTCAAATCATCTTAACATGAGGACACCGCCCGGTCCCAAATTATAAAATAATAATCTATGAGTTTTGAGGATACACGCCCGATCCTTGGGTACTCCACCCTATAACCGAGTTTTGAGGATAACCGCCCGATCCTTGGGTACTCCACCCTATAACCGAGTTTTGAGGATACCGCCCGATCCTTGGGTACTCCACCCTATAACCGAGTTTTGAGGATACACGCCCGATCCTTGGGTACTCCACCCTATAACCGAGTTTTGAGGATACCGCCCGATCCTTGGGTACTCCACCCGACTTATGATCTACCACATATCATCCTAGATAAGGTCTATATCATAATCAATAATCAAGACTAAACCAAGTCTTAAGGCCTAAGCATAATCATCCATGCAATTCATGCATTAAAAATCAACATATAGGCAAAACAGTGCCAAACCGGCGCCGGTTTTGACATAACCGGCGCCGGTTATTAATTAATTTAATAAAACCGGCAATGTCGATCCATAACCGGCGCCGGTTGTGCCTATAACCGGCGCCGGTTACCCCCTGGGCAACCAAGTCAACATTTTCGTTGACTCGCCATTTCAAACCCGATTTGCGTCAAACTTAATCCCAACATGTATTAAGTTATAACCAAGCATTTTATGCCCCTTTCATCCCTTAAAACATCATATACGTTTTTATAAACATTTTCATATCATACTTCATTTATGATATCAATGGGTCATACATATAAGTCTAATCACTTTGGATAATCACATGTTTAAGCATCTTTTAAACATCATTATGAACACATATAACATTTACTTAGGTAATCTCATAATTAACCCAAGAGTTATAAGACATTAAGCCGTCCACTCACCTCGAATGAGCGTGATGAAGTTCTACCCTTCTCGGTTGAACTCCGGCCAAACTCCGGTGAACTTTGACGAACTCCGGCGATAACTCCGGCGACCCTTTAAACCTCGTGAAAGCTTATAAATCACCTTTGACAAGTTCCTAACAAGGTTTTATCATCACAAAACCCATATTAATACAAATAACCTCTAAAAGGTCATTTTCCGGCTAACCGGTCGTTTTGGCTCCTAAGTCCGTTCTTGGACATAGGACCGCCTTTCAACCCTCCTTTTCTACATTATAACATGTAGAACAATACTAGGGGTACTTCATATGCTATGTAAGTCATATGAAGTTCAAAGAGAGGAGAAAAAGTTATCATGGAGTCATTACCTTAAGTATCCAAGTTTTTCCTCACTTTTTCCCTCCTTAAACTTCCTTTGTGGACTTCTCCTTGTTTGAGCTCAAGGTGCAGCTATGGAAGATGGTGTGAAAGGTTCCTCCCTCCTTCCTTGAGGTGTGCTGGTCGAGAATGATGGGTGAGAGAGAGAGTGGAGAGGTTGTTTTGTCTCACATAACCAATGAGTGAATGGGAAGGGCCCTTTGGCTTTTCAACCATGTTCCTCACATCTATTCATGCTCCATCATGTGTCCTTCCAGCTCTCCATAGTCCTCTCTTGCACACAAAAACGTGGGATGGCCCCCACTCATGTGGGAGGTCATCCAAACTTGTCCCGAAATGTACAATCGGTCCCAAAAGTTGTATTTCTCGGACTGTTTTAAATTATATTTTATTTTATTGGGTCAAATAAAATATAACACTTACTTCCCATCATAATGGGCCTTTAGGATGATTATACATTCTCCAACTTTAATTTGGAAGTCCCCGAAATTCATTTCAGACTGTTATCCGATAAATTACCCAAAACCGGTAATTAGGCCTTGTTTGACCAACCGGTCAACCCAATGCCTTTCTTATGGCCCAAGGTGAATGTCCACCACCATATAACTATTATCTATACCAAGATGAATAAAATATGCGGTCTCGGGAATATCGGGTGGTCCCCGCTCCCGGTGTGGGCCCCACGTGCAATTTACTATTCGCGCAAAAGAATTGACAAAAATTTACAACCTCGTAAATTCATTAACCATTTCATAAGGTTCAATACATAATTTACACAAAAGTAAATATACTTGGGGACGGTGTTACAAAACCCGAGTCCAATTAATTGAACGTTTTGAAAGTTTGAGAGTTCAATAGGGTGTTTTTTCGAGTATGAGAGCTTAATTGATATTTTTGTTTTTTTGATAGTGTTCCCAATTATTAATTCGTAAAACAATTTTCCAACAGATTTGAAATGACATAGATCATTAAAATTGTAATCAAATGCCTTTTTACCTCGGCTATATAAACGTCTCACTGCATGAGTTGGATGGAAGTGATAAACAACTTCAATCTCACGAATCACACAAGATGATTTTAAATGACCGTTTGAATATAAAGAAATAACCTGACTCGAAGAAGTCAAAGGTGAAAAATTACTACTATGAATTGTTGGGTGTGTTTCGAAAAATAAAGAAAATTAATTAATATGAATTAATTAAAATGACTAAAGAAAAACAAGAAATGAAATGGAGCAGAATTTAGCCAAAGCTCGTGGTACGCACGATGTCCTTAAAACGTATTTGTTACCTCCAACGGTGCTAGGAGCATTGCAACAACCGTTTCCCAGATTACGATGACTATGAACAAAGTATGAACACAGAAGGAATTTTCAAGAGGACTGGAGCCATTTTTAGCTGAAGAAAACGTGAGCTCGTGTATGCAAGAACGTGTAAGAACTTGTCTTGTTGCAAACCACATGCCAGCCTTTAAATATATGAGGAATTTGTTGTGTGTAAACGGTGAATTAATGGACCTGAACGTTGGACATCAATGACTAGTCCGTTTAGCATTGAATCATCCATTCAACGCTGTATTAAAAGGTAAGAACGTGTCTTGTTGCAAACGTTGCAAAAATTAACCGTATCTCTTGAGAGATAAATTTTTGAACGACATTCGTGTCCGCAGGTCGCCCGCGAATGCAAGTCGCGGTTTTTCTTCTCCGATTTCGGGATTTGATTTGCACCCCCCCTACGCGCGTGGAGAGAGCCTTTACCCTTAGGAATCTTAACTCCTTAAGGGGGGAGTCCCTTTATAAAGGGTTGCAAATCCCTTGGGTTTTCCGGTGTGGGAAATAACACACTAGAAACCCATCCTTTCTCAGTTTTTCCATTCTAACGGGTAAACTTTGAGAATCAATTTCTCATTCACCCGTTATCCGTTTTGAGCGTACCACATATCGAATTGTAGCCCTTAACAAGGATAATCCGAAACCACTTTGACCCGACCCAAATCGGAAGTGGACCCCACTCAAAAAATGCCCCAAATTACCATTTAATGCAATTTCAACACATTTTTCCAACATGAATGATTAAATCAAGTTCCAAAGGATCTAAAGGACAAACTGAATTTGAGGCTTCATTGGAGATGAATGTGTGTCTTCAAAAGGCATCGAGTGATTACATGTAGGATTTAAATGAGTAAAATCAGCACAACCAATCAAATGATTTGGCTGGTCCGCCCACAAGTAAAGCTCTGGGAGCAACATCAAGATCGAATGGAAGAAACGTGACATCCATATGTTCTTATAGCCTATTCATAAATGAAAACTTGGAAGAAGCGTTAAGATTATTTTCAAAATGTTCACGTGACATTTGTTGATTAACTCCAGGATGGACAGTAAGAGCATCTCCAATGGTTCCTCCCAAGGACTTGCTTGCAATTTTTTAAAATATTCAAGCTAGTAGCCTACCATTGGAGTGTATATTACCTTCTAGCTTGGACAAGCTAATTAGCCAAAACAAGCTAAATGCTAGAAAGGAGAGAAAATTGAACTAAAATGGTAACTCCCAAATATATTTAATTTATTTATTATAATTATTATACAAATCTAATTAAAGAGAAAGTCAGCAACGGTAATGTTTAAAAGGGTTTCAATATTACTGTTAATTAAAGAAGCGCAACCCAATGATTTTTTCATCAAATACTTAAGTTAAAGTTGACATTTTTCATATAGAATATTTTCGAGCAAATTTTGTATTCCTTATTTTGTTACTTAACAAAATACATATTTTTGTACTAATTTTAATAATATGCATTTTCACCCTCGTCTGCTTAATGTTGGGTGTTGGATTAATGTTTGGTCAAAGTCATAGTTGATGACCAACTTGATCAATCTGCCAGAAGTTTGATTATGTTTGCTTGTCAACTTGATCGATTTGAAAATATTTAAAAATAAATATTATTTTTATTATATTAACAATAAAATTCATTCAAAATGTATATTTCAATATTGATTGATTTGTGGGGCCTATTCAAGAGGCAAGAGTTGTAGCTAACCATTGGACCATCACATTGCTGAAAAATGGATTAGTTAGAAAAAACTGAGGTGGCAAGCAAAACTACAAGGTGTCTAGCTGACCGCTGGAGATGCTCTAAAGACTTCAACACAGAAAGGAAACATAGCATAATCCATGTCAAGTTTTATAAAATACAAGTAAAATTCCAAATTAGAATCATCAAGAAAATGCACATGAGGGGGACATGGACCTACAAGTAACAAATTCACCATGAATAAATCGTGGAAGTAAAGTCAACATAAAATGTCACATCAGGTAATTTTAACTCAATTATTATTGAATTAGAGATTTTATCTCATACAATTTAATTACACCTTGGGAAGAATGTTGAAGCAAAACTAGAAAAGTAGGAAAGAAGATAAACAAGTATGAAAGAGAAGATAAATAGTAGAAAAACTAAGTGTATTAAGTATATTTAAAGGACAAGTTTATACTCCCTTCGTCCTGAAATTAACTTCACACTTTCCTTTTCGGGCTATCCCGAAATTGACTTCCCACTTCGTTATTTGGCAAATTATCTACATCAAAACGTGTAAAACAGTGTAAAATAGTGCAAAACAGTGTCAAAACAGTAAAATTTACCCCCTAATAAATTTATTTCCTTAATATGTGTGAAATTCAAGTGGGAAGTTAATTTCGGAATGGAGGTGGTATAAAAAAAGAGAATGTTACAAAAATTAAATTTATATTCCAAAAAGGAAAGGCAGAGAACTAAAGAATAAAGAGGGAGTATTATATAAAAATTAGATATCTCACCATATATCTTAACTTTATTTTTTTTGTTATACGATAATATAACTTGATTCCTTATGTCATTACTTAGACAGATTGTGGTTTCATTTTGTTTGAATGTTTTTTGGCCTTTCGAGGTTTGGCAATTTTTTGGGCATTTTTGTATACATTTTGATTACGTGAGAGGTTTTGGTTTGCCCCCTCTCGTTTTGTACTTGCTCTCTATTCAATAAAATCTCGGCGAATGTCCCCCGACATTTGCCCCACTAATGGGTGGTTTACCTTCCGGGGTTTAAAAAAAACTTGATTATAGTTTGGAAGACAAATTTGGAGCCAAAATTGATTGCCATTTTATTACTTTATATAGATAATATAAAAAGTCTATTTGGTAATGCTGAAATTGATCGAATATGTTGAATTATGAAAAATTATTGTTAAAAGATATTTTATTGAAAAAATTAAGAAACAATTATATGGAAAACTAATTAAAATGACCATTTATATTAATTTGAATTAATTTAGTCGAAAATTAATTTCAACCTTATTTATTTTGAATACTATACAATCCAGTGCGTTAAATAAAAAGTTACGTGTTTTATGAAAAAATAAGTTGATGAGACTGATAAACCAAAAAACATCAACACCAAACGAGCTAAGAAATAGGTGAAATTCACAAAAATAATACGAGTACATACTTTTTGAGATTCTACAACAATAATTCCTACGGAGTTTCCACAAAAATAATTCAAACTAGAAATGATGTTCACAAGAATAAATTGAGGTAAATTCAAAATAATTTCTATTTAACACTCTCAAACCATACTCTTACTTTCTCTTCCACACTCGTAATCACGGGGCAAATTCAAATTAAATTCCGTTTAATTTTAACATCCTTTTCACTATATATGATTCTCTCTAGGTTGGAATAATAAAAATGTTAATCGAGACGAAAAGCGATGAGTCGATGAAGGAAGTAGATGTAGGAATTGAAAGAACTAAATTAGGGGGTGTTTGGAACTGATTCTGCTTCTGCTTCTTTTTTAAAAAGCAGAAGCAGAATCAGAATCAGTTTTCAAAAGCTGGTACCTCCCAGCTTCTAAAAAAACTGATTCTGAGAGTAAATTAGAGTTCCAGAAGTGCTTTTGGAATTTCACCCAAACAGTACTTCAGCTTCTGCTTCTGCTCCCTGAAGGAGCAAAATCAGTTTTGAAAATCAGATCCAAACAGCCCCTTAGTATTAGTTTGAATTCACCATAATTTATTCTGGTGAAAATTATTAGTATTACGAATTACTACGTACTCCCTCCGTCCCCTTTTAAATGACCCAGAGGAGGGTGACACGGGTTTTAAGAAATGTGGGTTTGTGTGGTTGATATTAATTGATAAAGTAAGAATAAAGTAAGAATAAAGTAAGAATGATTTTGAGCCAC